CATATAAACGTAGTACTCTCCCCAATATAAGAGATTTATAATTTCCCAAGTCAAATCAATACGAGTTTAGAGCAGATTATCCCATTCATATGGGATAGTTTAGTTTGAGGGAGCTAGAAAACCTGTATGAGTTAAACCGGATATGCTACGTTTGGAATAGACAATAGGACTATCTAAAAACAGGTACCTTCCACCTAAAATATGTATCTGTATTCGATGATTGACCGATTTTTTTTAATAAAAAATGACGATTGGTTTGAGACGTATCCTACACGAGTGTACAACTATACTTATATGACAAATGATGAATAAATTGGAATAAATTGAACAATCGTCGTGCGAAAAGTGTTACCACGAAACAACCACTAATCATAGTAAGAGACCTCAGCAGTTGCTATCATAACTTATCACGAAACAAATACAGGATTTGTTGGTTGGCGGCTAACTTTTATCCAGACTTGAGGAAGCCATTTTGGGGAACAAATACAGGCTCGCTAACAATCCCCGCTAGCCAGGCTTGGCCAACCCTCGCGCGCTCGTCCACTCACCACGACTGTCGTCGAGCCCTTGTTAGCGAGCATTGCCAACCACCTTCCTCCACGCGAGCTCCACCGCCGCCCCTCCCTGCGCGCCGCCAGCCACCACACGAGCTCGGCTGGGCACCGTGCGGGATCTGTTGCCCCCTGTACGGTGATTCTAGGTAAGTCAAGCCATGCACCAAACGGACTTTTTTTTAAAATATAGCCTTACACGGTCGATGGAGGGGTGGAGACAGGGGGCGAGAGCAGGGCCCCCCCCCCAATTTAATTTTCCATTGATTTTTAAAATTCGAATAAATTTTAAAAATTTAATATAGTTGGTCCCCTTAACATTTAAAAAAAAATCAACTTTCTCGCTCCCCTAAAAAAAAATGCATTTAAAAAAAGATTTTAACTCAACTTTCCTCGCACTGGTCCCTTTATTGAAACCTATCAAAAAAAAATGCACCTTGCATAGCACTAGCAAGATTTTAACTACAATTTGTCTTAAAAAAATAGCCAGACTAGAAACAGAAGTAAACAACCTCATAATCTTTGAAAAAAAAAGAGGCCTTAAATAAGAACAAATCCAATTGCAAGTACCGGCCAGACCAGGCCCGATGTCCTGCAGTCGTGCTCGGCTGGTCCTTCCTTCTCCTGGCTATCCGTCGCACGTTTAAAATGGTATTTATAGACAGGTAATAGAGTGTGTATATATACAGTACTCCCTCCGTACCTAGATTTCAAGTCGTTCTGGGCACTTGGCTAGTTTTCACAAATCATATCGTTCTCTGCACCCGAGGGCAAGTTTGGACGCGATTACCCCTTCCTTAATCACGCGCGTGCACGCCGTCCGCATTGATCGCGCCTGTTCGTTACTCACGCCACCCGTTCGGCTTGCCGCTGGCCGATCCAATAAGCGCTCGCACTGCCTCGCACTTCGTTCCTCGCCGCACGCCTCCTCGCCTCGCCTCGCCTTACATCCTCTTCGCGTAGCCTTGCTACTCGCCGCACGCCGCACGTCCTCCTCACCTCGCCTCGCCGCTCGCCGCACGTCCTCCTCACCTCGCCTCGCCGCTCGCCGCACTTCCTCCTCGTGCTCGTGTTCGTCTCCTGCAGCACGCTTGCCATGGAGCCCGGCGCCATGAAGCTCGCTCCAGCCACGAAGGAGGCGCTCGACTATGAAGTGGCGCCGAACTCAGAAGAGGTGGCGGTGGTTTCGGAGGAAGCGCCGGAGTCCGAGCTGGCGCCCAACTCAAAAGAGGCGCTGGACTTGGAGATGGCGATGGACTCTGTCGAGGTGTCGCTGGTGGTGCCGGACAACGTCGAGATGGTGGCGGACTCCGTGGAGAGGGACTTCGTCGAGTGTCTATGTCCTCGCTGCGGCACGATCCATGCTGGCGGCGTCTTCGGAGAAGAATGCTTCCAAGCTCGCCGCTGTGCCCGTTGTGGTCTTCTCCACGAAGACTATGAGCTCCCAGCAAGGTTTTTTCACTTCATGGAGAAGTTTGATTGTGAGTTCTACATTCCGGATGTGAAGAAACTTCAAATGAGAGGTAACACAATACTTCTTCCTGACGATGTTGTCGAGAAGTTGGAAGAGATCCACAACATGAAGAAGTTGGAAGATGCAAAGATGAAGCAAGATGAAAAGAAAGAACAGTAAGGTACATGTCTCATTTAGTCGTCCTAACATGCAAGCAAAAACTGATTGCTTCGGCTAGCATGCATTTAAACTAAGATACATTCATCTCCAAATTTGTATCTTCTTTTCATTTGCTCCATAAACTAACTTGCAGCTTCTAATTTATAGGGAGACTAGCAATGCAGTCAGCAAGCAAGGAAGCTTCACAAGAAATTTGCAATGGCAGCCGTCCTTCTTTCTCTAGTCTATCTTTTTGCATGTGAGGAATTTTAAACTTGTTGCATCCTTTCACCTTCATTGCTTCCTTTAGAACACCTTAAAGTGTTACAAAAATCTTGTTTGCTTTCCATGGAGAGTACTCTAAGAATGCCTACAAAACATTAGTTCAAGAAATGAATCAATGAATGGACAATATTGTGTGAATGCCTATAAAACATGTGTCAACAATTGATCAACTTACTTGTTGGACAGCGGGAATTAGATCTTTTATTGTTTTGGCGTCTTTCTTGTATTGAATTGCTCGAAAGAAACCCAAATCTAAAATATTAAAATCCGGCGAATTGGGTGGTTGACAAATGAGTCGAATGTCAAAACCTTCTTGCTTGGCGGCCTCACAAAAAAATAGGATCATCCACTTTCAAATGTGAAGGTGCATTGTCTTGTTGTATGAAAATTGGCTTGTTCACATCCTCTCTAGGCCATTTGGCTCTAATTGCCGGTAGAACATTGTTTATTATGAAATCTCTAATCATATCTCTTGTGATTGAAGTAATTGGCTTGATTACTTCTTCTCCACGAAGACGATTGTGACTTTCTCTAATAGCTTGCCCATAAGTCACAAGTGGAAAACAACCATTTTTTCCATAAAAACACACTCTCCATTTCTAAACCGTGGCCGAGCACAAATACACAAGAACATCAACCTAGGGATGTAATTCTTGTTCTTACAAGTACGGTGTGGATCATCTTCTTCGGGTAGCAAGTAATATTTTTCAGATTTTTGAGAGAGGTAGAACCTTTTTTCATCAATGAACACAAAGTCAAAAAAATCCTTAAATCTTGATCATCAAACAAGCCTTGCTCAATCATATCAACACACCACTTCAACCTAGTCTTCTTGTTTGCATTTGTGAGATATGGTTTGATGCTACTTGAGTGCCGCCTAATTAAACCTTTTTTCAAATATCTTTGTATTTTAGATTTGCTCATACCAAGTTTACTAGACACATCTTCTATTGTCATTCTTTGCTTGAGAGGGATGTTGCGCAAAAGTTCCAAATTAGGTGGGATTGTCTTGCGTCCACTTCTACCCTGCTTTGTACTAGTAACCACAATTGGAATATTATGATCAAGTTGTGTTTTACCTCTCCGCCATAGGCGTTGAACGGACCGAATGTGCACACCAAATTGAGCAGCAACGATGCTTGTATCCTTCCTCCTTAGTTTTCCATTATTGCTTCTAATCAACAAAGCTTGGTACACTTGTGCGCACTCGTGGTCTATCATGTCCTTCCTTCGAGGATTTGGTTGAACGATAGCATCATGAGCATGATCTAGTAGAGGAAAAAAGAAACAAAGTATCCGTAGCATTATCAGCAAGCGCTTCAACAAAGTAGCCGTGGCTTAACTAAAATGAATAATGTGATTGTGTCAAAAAAAAGTTACCAGCAAGATTTTGTAGATAGTCGAAATTAACTGCACCGAACTCATCTAGTGGTAAGTTCAAATCAAGTACCGTAAAAAAACAATGATTTAAGAACTGAGCAAAATCTGCATATGCTAAGAAACACACAAGAGCGCTAAGTGATGCATTACCGCCATGGTGAACTTCTGGCTCGTCGACGTCGAACACGTCATTGTCGTCATCATCTTGTGGCTCGTCCACGTCGAACACGTTGTCGTCGTCGTCATCTTGTGGTGCTGGAACGTTGAGATCGAACCCAATGTCGGCTTCGTCATCTTCGGATGCCAGTACGTTGAGATCGAAACTAGGAATATAATCGACATTTGTACTTTGGGAGTAGAAGCGGAAGGAAAGAAGAAGAAAAGGCGTGGAGTAGATGCGATCTTGGGAGCAACATCTCAACGCTTTTATAATCTTGGGAGCAACATGTGTAGACGCTAACTTAACACACGCGCGAGAACGCCGAAAATGCGTCTGAACGCCGAAAATTTGAAAGCAAGCGAACTCAGAAATACGCCAACACACGCGCGAGAAAGCAAAACGGGAGCAAACGCTAAAAACACTCCTACACGCCACAGACGCACCTGTGCTAAAACGCCTCCAGCGCTGCTGAATGGCCAAACCCCGACCTCACGTGCCCAAACTCAAGCAGCACAGCGCCATGCAACGAAGCACAGTGCCATGAAAATAATCTGGCGAATACAAAAAAAATACCACGGCTACCAGCACTCGAATGGTGGGCGTCCGTCCTCGGGCCGCAGAGCCTTGACCACTCGAGCTACGAAAGTTTGCTGGATAAGCAGCACGCGCAGGCCTATTTAATAAGGGCAAGGATGGAAAATTAACCCCTAATTAATTCTTTCTCGGTATGCACAATCCTGTCTAAACGACTTGTTTTACAGGTATGGAGGGAGTATAATAATAATTTCTGAAATAAAATGGAGTATTTCTACAGGTAGACACTGCATCAATCAAACAGGGCCCACTTCTGCGCCTCCCCAGGCCCCAGGACCCCAGCCGTGCCCTGTGGGCTGTGGCAGCCACCCCCTCCGCAGCCGCATTATCTTTCCCTTTCCGACCCGCCGTCATGTCCGTTTCCGAGGCCGCCTATACGCCATGGCCGCCCCCGCCCTCAGGGGCACACCAGATCCGCATGGCCGCCGCCGAGGGCCACTTCCGCGACGCCATCTCCCTCTTCCTCAGAATGCGCGCCTCCGCCGCGCCACGCTCGTCTGTCCCGGCCTCCCTCCCGGCCGCGCTCAAGTCCTGTGCCGCCCTAGGCCTCAGCGCCCTCGGCGCCTCCCTCCACGCGCTGGCCATCCGCTCCGGTGCATTCGCCGACCGCTTTACCGCCAACGCCCTCCTCAACCTCTACTGCAAGCTCCCGGATTCGTATCTCCACTCCACTGGTGTGACCAGCGTGGGTGGCACCGGATCATCAGCCGCATTGGAGAGCGTGCAGAAGGTGTTCGACGAAATGTTCGAGAGGGACGTGGTGCCCTGGAACACTTTGGTGCTGGGCTGCGCGGAGGAAGGGAGGCACCATGAAGCGCTGGGCTTGGTCAGGAAGATGTTGAGGGAAGGGTTTAGGCCTGACTCTTTCACCTTATCCAGTGTGCTGCCAATCTTCGCAGAGTGTGCCGATGTCAAGAGAGGCTTGGAGGTGCATGGTTTTGCAGTCAGGAATGGGTTTGACAGCGATGTGTTCGTTGGCAGTAGCCTGATTGATATGTATGCGAATTGCACAAGGACGGATTACTCTGTCAAAGTGTTTGACAACCTCCCGGTACGAGACCCAATTCTGTGGAACTCCATGCTTGCAGGTTGTGCACAAAATGGTTCAGTTGAGGAGGCTCTTGGAATATTCCGTCGGATGCTGCACGCTGGAGTTAGACCTGTGCCTGTGACTTTCTCGAGCCTCATACCTGTCTGCGGTAATTTGGCATCATTGCGCTTTGGGAAGCAGCTGCATGCCTCTGTGATCCGTGGTGGGTTTGAAGATAATGTGTTTATATCTAGCTCCCTGATTGACATGTACTGCAAATGTGGGGAGATTAGCATTGCTCATCGCATCTTTGACAGGATGTGTTTACCAGACGTTGTATCATGGACTGCGATGATCATGGGGTACGCATTGCATGGTCCAGCAAGAGAGGCACTTGTGCTGTTTGAGAGAATGGAACTGGGAAATGCAAAGCCTAATCATATCACCTTTCTTGCGGTTCTGACTGCATGTAGCCATGCTGGATTAGTGGATAAGGGCTGGAAATATTTTAAGAGTATGTCAGATCATTATGGAATTGTTCCTACTCTAGAGCATTGTACAGCGCTTGCTGATATCCTTGGTCGTGCAGGAGAGTTAGACGAAGCATACAATTTTATATCGAAGATGCAAATAAAACCAACTGCGAATGTCTGGTCCACATTGTTAAGGGCTTGCAGGGTCCATAAAAATACCATTTTAGCTGAGGAAGTAGCCAAGAAAATTATGGAGCTTCAACCTAGGAGCATTGGATCTCATGTAGCTTTGTCAAATATGTATTCAGCTTCTGGGAGATGGAATGAAGCAGCACACCTACGAAAATCTATGAGAAAAAAAGGGTATGAAGAAGGATCCAGCATGCAGTTGGATTGAAGTGAAGAACAAACTGCACGTCTTTGTAGCTCATGATAGGTCCCACCCTTGGTATGACAGGATTATTGATGCACTGAATGTTTTCTCAGAGCAGATGGCACGCGAAGGACATGTACCCAATACAGAGGATGTTTTCCAGGATATTGAAGAAGAACAGAAGGCATATGTGTTATGTGGTCATAGTGAGAAGCTTGCTATAGTGTTTGGTATTATAAGCACACCTGCTGGAACAAGAATTCCTGTGATGAAGAATCTCCGAGTCTGTATTGATTGCCACACAGTAACTAAATTTATTTCAAAGTTAGCTGATAGGGAGATTGTTGTGCGTGATGCAAACCGTTTCCACCACTTTAAGGATGGGAATTGTTCCTGCAGGGACTTTTGGTGATTGGGTAACCGTTTGGGATTATCATGTGTTGAAATATAAAGTGAATTGTCCGCCTTCCCCATCAGCTTAAACTTTTTGGTTGAACTGGTCAGTGCTATATGGTATCAGATCCGAGGTCTCGAGTTCGAATCATGGCTAGCGCAATTAAATAAAGTAATAATTGTTAAGTGCTCTTATTCTACGTTAGAGGCATAAGGGGAGTGTTGAGGTATAAAGTGAACTGCCCACCTTCCCTATCAGTTTAAGGTTTTGGGCTGAACTGATCGGTGCATGTAACTTAATAATATATTTTGTGAAATGAGTTCCTACTGCATGTGGTCTATATTGAGTGTGGACAATTGATGGAAAGGAGCCTTGCTAATCTAAGTATTTTCAGTAATGACAAGGATATGAGCTATTTGTTTGTTTCTGAAATTCTAGAATCACAGCTAGACGAAATTTAAGGTTGCCTTTAGTTTAGACAACCTTGTCAATTGGTTCTTCACATAATGAGCCAGTCAGTCTATTTTGAAGAACTGTTGAGAGTGGGACTGAAAAAGCAAGTATTTCAACATTAGAGCCATCTAAAGTGTTAGAGTACGTTAGGGGCCTCTTGGACCTGGGTTGGCTGTATAACCTATTAGTGTTAGAATTAATTAAAGATAATGGTCGCTTACTTAAGGGTCAAGTAAACCTTGCTTGGGAGTCAAGTAAACCTCTCTATAGGAGGAGAGGAGATGTATCAATCTAATCAAGCAAAAATTAAGAAGAAAATCCCTTCTCTCTTGCTCGGCCGTGGGCAAGGCCCCCGGCCGGCCTCCACCCTCCCTCGCAGTCCCAGCCGCCACAATTGTGGCAGTGAACAGTACCCTATTTACTGTAGCTTCGCGGGTACTGTAGCCGCCCCATAACAATGGGCGCGCTGGCATCCTCAGGGGCGATTGCGCCCTTTGCCCCGGCGTCGTCTACCCTTGTCCTCACCCCGGAGCAGATGACGGCCGCAATCCTGGAATTAGGGCAGGCCGTGGCGGGCATCAGGGCATTCCTCGTTGGGCCCTATGCGCCCCAGCCGCAGCCCTAGCTGCCACCTCCTCCGTCGTCACACCAACAGCAGCTACCCCCGCCGCCGCCGCAACCGGCTGCGACCACCCTGCCAGCGGTGTTGCCGTATGGGATGCCCTACTCCAGCACGACGGGCGTTCCCATCCATCTCCTCCGGATGCCGCCTTCCCCGTCGCCGATCCCATCTTATGCCCTGGCCCCAACGGTAGGGCCAGTGTATATGATGGCAACGTTTTCGGTGACCATGACGTTGGCTGCCCCAGCCCCTACCTAAGGCGCCATGATCCACTACGGTGGGGCGGTACAACATCCCTCCTACACCGAGGGGTTTTTCTATGGAGGCGTTGATGGCCCTCTACTCTACGGCGGCAACATGTAGCACCACCACGGCGCCTCGTCGTCCGCAGCCTTTGCTCCAGAACCAGCCGCTTCGGGTGTTAGCCATGGCGCTCACCTTCTGCGCTTCTACAAGTTGGAGTTCCCGATGCCAGGTTCCGATAAGCCACTGCCGGATCCCTTCGCGGGGAAGATGCTTACCCGCTAGGTGTCGGCTGCGGTGCGGCGGCAGGGTGCTACGCGCGGCCTCCTAGCACGTCGGCGGGTGCGGGAGATGCGCGATCTGCAGCTGATTTAGCCCTGCACCCCTTCGCAGCTCCTCCACGTTGCGCTTCGCTGCGCGGAGGACCTCGATCTCGTCCGCTGTGTCGGGGATCTTGGGCATGCGGTTTCCCCCACGGGCGGCGGAGATGCTATTTTCCCTGCGGGCGGCGGTTGGGGAGGTGCATCCCTCCACCTCATTATCCATCGAAATCCCTCCGCTCTTCTCTCTCAGGGTGCGCACTGCCAGCCAACCGCCTCAAGCGGGAGAAGGCGTGGGGTCACCAATGAGCGCGCACTGTAGCGCCCGTCGCATTCTCGCCATCGCCGCCATGAGAGGCACCTCCGCTGGTCGCTGTTGCGACCACTTCCAGGTGGCCATACACATGCACCCCTTTCATCTAGATGGTGTCCATGGGATCCAGGAGGTTGTACACATGCAGGTTTGGCGTACGGATGGTGTCCACTTTATGTTCAGGAGTCAAAAATAAAGAGTCCCAGTCCATTTCAGATTGAAAATAATAAAATAAGCCAAAATGTAAAAAGGCTTGTTTTTTAGGTGCCGTCGAGTCAGCGTTATAAGTTTGTTAGGTTGTAGCTCGAGGACGAGCTGCATGTCTAGATGGGGTGTAGTGTTCTGTATAGCCCATTAGTGTTAGGTTTAATTAGAGATAAGAGTCACGTACTTAAGGGTCAAGTAAGCCGTGCTTGGGAGTCAAGTAAACCTCTCTATATAAGGAGAGGAGATGTATCGATCTAATCAAGCAAGAATTAAGAAGGAAATCCCTTCCCTCTTGCTCGGCCGTGGGCAAGGCCTCCGGCCTCCCTCGCAGCCCCAACCGCCACAATTGTGGTAGTGAACAGTACCCTATTTACTGTAGCTTTGCGGGTACTGTAGCTTCGTACCATAAACACTATGTCTTTACTGTTTGAATATATTAAGGTAAACATACTCTTCTTACTCTCAATAGCTGCCTTATCACTGTACAAATTTCAGCCTGTTGAGTGTGTTGAACTATTTTTGCTCATGAAATTGCATTTCATCTGCTTCAGATGTCAGTTCTGCAATCCATCAACCTACTAGCTACAGTATGCTCCATTTCTCAAATTATGTTTTCATTATTGAACCATGGTCACCTAATCCCCTCCTTGCATAAAGAATAAAGAAAGTTATGGATGCCTGAAGTGTGTTTAAATAGCTAATCATCCAACCTCAGTGTCCACCTTGACAGTGGTAAACACTGAATAATAGCTGTTACTTCAGTTGCATTGTGTCTGTATTGAATGTAGGACTAACACCCATACTTGCAATCATTTGACTGAGTGAGCACCCTGCAGCAATATTTTTCTGAATCATGATCTCTCATTTGCTGTTACGTCTACTGATCAGTCTAATGCATATTCTTACAATCATTTATTTTGGGAGTTCAGTATCTTCCTTTCCTTGTATGTCTGTCCTGTACTGTTTTCATCATAATGCTCATTTTCTTCTCATGTCTGACCATATTTTCATAACCTTTGCTATTCATCCTGTTTTTAAACCTATTCAGATCACTGTTTAGCCTTAGGCTCAACTTTTTTTTATAGCTATTAAAATGACAAGTTGTTGAGTAAGGTGATTAATCTATTTTTTGTCTGGTATACTAATGTTTTTCATTCAGTTTCAACTACTTCATGTATGCTTTTGCTACCACCTGTATGTTCAGCGCCTAACTATAACAGTGACATATTTGCTACTTAAGCATGACTGTTGAAATGTTTCAGACATCCTTTGTTGAACAAATATAAGAAAATGCCAATAATGCCTAGGTCATTTTATCACTTTTATTGTGTATATATTCAAGTTTGTCAACCTTTCTAGTGCTATTTGATTGTGATTACCCCAACAAACAGAACAGCAAATCAACAGCTAGAAAACTTGTTTTTTTAAGCCACTCATATTGTACCAACGTTTTTTTACTTTCATGTGATGTCTAACATCATAAGTAAATTTTGTTTGGTCATGTTTCCTAAAGATTGTCTTGTTTTTATTGCAGTAGTGGTTTGCTTGTAGCATTTTACGAATCTACAGGTTTGGCATGACAGGTTACAATCTTTGTCCTTCAGGTATCATACTTATATGTCACCAGATTCACATTTCCGTTAAGAAATTCTTGAATGATTCATGTATGGGTATGGAGCATATCACACACTGCATACCTCAGGCCTTGTTTAGATTGCAAGTTTTTTCACTCTCTCTCCATCACATTAAATCTTTGGACACATGCATGGAGTATTAAATGTAGATAAAAAATAACTAATTACACAGTTTGATTGTAAATTACGAGACGAATCTTTTGAGCCTAGTTAGACCATGATTGGACAATAATTGTCAAATACAAACGAAAGTGCTACAGTGCCAAATACTGATTCCTAAACCTAATCTAAACAAGGCCTCAGCCCAAATTTCATTTTGATAACTAGATCGAGATGAGACCATCACATCACGCACCTACATGGCCACATCAGTCCCCATTACCCTGTGCAACTGGAAGACAAAACTTGACATTGAAAATCGTGTGTGATGTTATTGTTCAAGGGCACTTGGGGATAGCTTTTTCCAAGATGTGGAGTTGGGATCATCACTAGAATGCTGCTAGTGTGATCTGCACTCATCATTGAGCACGAATGCCATGGTTTTGCTAAAGTTTTTTTTTCAAGCAAATGCTTGTTTCGTGTCACAACGTTTTAAATAGTGGGCTAAGCCATTTAGCGGTAGCCTCCTCCAGAAGCTATAAAAAGTTATAACAGAATATATCGAAGGCTAATTCATTTTGTGTTTTTACAAAAAAAAAACATGAAAGTCCTTGATTGTTTGTAGATATAAATATGTAACTAAAGAAATTTCATGAACTCAAATACTCAAATACATGCACTAGGAGAACATATCTCTAAATCCATTATTTAACATTCATTAAAACAGTCTCATAGCTACTGTGACCATTCATATTCATTCAACAATTAACAATTCAATAACTATTCAATGGTTTGTCACATCATTTATTAGGTAAAGACAACAAAGAGGCATAGATTAGTGGTGTTAAAATTATTTCACGAGTAAGCCAAATAGCAGTGTTTAGTGGAGTTAAAGTGCCATTAGCGGCTATAACAGAACAATTAGAAATATCATAGCGACAGACCCCATAAAAAGCTATAGCGGTCTATTTAGAGGCATGGTCTTAAAAAGTAGTAACATAATTCTTTTAAAAAATAGTAACATAATTGTATTAATTACCCTTTCATGCTTGCAGGGTACACCAAATGAGCAGCTCGTGGTGGATGCCCATGATTCTAGGCAAGTGCAGCACACTCTGGATTGTGGAGACGGCCCATTATTTTTCTTCAGCATGGAGCCACCGCAGCAGTGTACTGGTTCCCCGTTCGTCCATTTTTTTTTGTCATTCGGTATACCTTGGTAACATGACGGATAACAAGTATGAATGTATGATCGGCGGTGTAAATCTTTGTCATGTTCGTTTCAACTTATCACCTTGACTTATTAGGTATAATGTTTTTCTCTTACAACAAAACAGTATCATCAGCTGGCTTATCAACCACAAAAACCATGAGCCAAACAGCTCAAAAGGCATGCATAGATATTGGAACTACTGCGGTAATAATCCAGCGACTAGAACTTGGAGCGCGACGCTCCCTGTGTGTGTGTGAATTCTTCCGGAGTACGTATGCTGTAGCCTGTAGCTGTACTCAGCACGAGCATGTCATGAATGAGTTCATTGATTCCTTCGTAAATCTGGGACCGTCCAGCCACATGTGTAAGTACCCAGCGAGCTCATGGCCCTGTTTATTTATCTTATGAGCTATACTATTTCAGTAAATAAATAATTTTTTTCTCACAATAAATCAGCGAACAATATTTTTAGTCATGACTTTTCAGAAAAACGAACGGGGCCATACTGCTTACAGTATAGCCGGGACTACAGCTGCAGCTCGCATTAGTCCAAGATCCAGCTGATCAGGACTGCAGCTGAATGATGCGCCACAGCCTCTTTCGCCGGCCCTAAAGTGTGAAATAAGTAGACGCCAAGGTTGATCAGTTTTTAGCTTGATCCCTTAATCATTTTCCTTGACGATGATGCTCCTTGATGCTACTTAAAATAGTACTAGCATGTACTTCCTCCGTTCTAAATTATAATTCGTTTAACTTTTTTGACCTCAAATTTAACCACTCATCTTATTTAAAAAAAATTATGCAAACATAGTTAAATTTAAATCATTCAAAAAAAACTTTTGTTAATAAAGCAAGCCACGACAAAAGAAGTGATATTTTGCATAAATTTTTGAATAAAACGGATGATCAAACTTGGGATAAAAAAGTCAAACGAATTATAATTTGAGAATGGATTTAGTACAAGAAATGAGTGTGGTGGTGGTTTTGCACAGAGAAGAAAAGAAGTGGATACGGTAAAAGGGGTTGAGCTATACGTATGGCAGCAGTTCCTTATTGATTTCTACTTACTGCACGTATGCATACTACTTTATATACGCAACGTCCGACGAGCGACAAGGACGTGACAACCTATACGAAAAGACGGCCAAATCTGTGCAGGCAGTCAGGCAGAGCAGAAGGGGTACTCCGTACACGTATAACACAGCACGCGGCGGATAACCCGGAAGGAATCGCGAATCGCAAAGCAAAAAAAGCACCCTATATTCCCGTTCCCACCCTCGACTCCTGTCCTATCCGCTCGCCAGTCGCCACCTGCAGCCCTCCACTCCATTTCGGCATTTCGCACTCCCACCACCACCTCCGCGCCGCGCCGCCGCGGCCCCCCGTCTTCCTCCTCCCTCCCGACACACCTCTTTAACTCGCCTCCGCTTCCAAAAAATGCTCCAGTTAATTTAATCCAGACGAGGAATCGCCTCGCCTCGCCCCGGATCTCTCGCCCGCGAATCCCCAGGCCCGCTCGCTCGTCGACAGGCGACAGGACCCCGCGATCAGCTCCGGCGGGAGGTTGACTCGCACTGCGGCGGGGCGCGCCGCCGCCGCCGCTCGGCACGGCACGGGGCTCGTCGGGTCGGCAGTCGCTTTCGGGTCGGGCGCTGTCGAGGCCAGCGGTGCCGGGGCAATGCGGTCAGTTTGTCGAGCTGTTTGAGGCGCGTGGCTGGGATCTGAGTGAGGGTGCCAGATAGGGGGCGCGAGCGAGCTTCTGTCGGTGGGGAGTTGGTGGTGGTTGTAGGCGTACGGCGCGCGTTGGGCTGCCGGGATGGAGCACGTAGTTGGGGGCAAGTTCAAGCTCGGGAAGAAGATCGGGAGCGGATCCTTTGGGGAGCTCTACCTCGGTGCGTCCCGGTGATGGGTCCTTGCTTTGTGGAGCTCACTTTTCGTTTTTTTCCCCTCCGGGAATGCTTCGGTGTGTTCGTGCTTCTGACCGTGCTTGTTTGATTTGTGTGCAGCCGTGAACGTGCAGAATGGCGAGGACGTGGCTGTCAAACTGGTATGCCACGAACAGCTTCCGCATGATTTTAGTGTCCGCTATCCATGTCTTGATGAACAGTACTATGTTAGGAGTTAACTCTAGTTGGAGTAACTGAAATCTGTAGTTAGCCTAATCGGTTGCTACTCACCTTGCAAGCATTATTGCGTATTAGGAGCTCGGCAATTACAGCACAAACGTTCCTGTACAGAAATGATGTTATCCAGCGCTGTCTATGCCTCTTGCGACAGAATTGTCAACAGTGGGACCATTTGGGTCCTGGAATAAGCTTCATCCACGTGAAATGAATCATTTGTACCACACAATTTTATTCTGGAGAAAGGTTTGCTCATTTGAGTCAGTGAACCTGTAGCACTTCATTTGAGTCAATGAACCTGTAGCACTCCTCTGAAGTGAGGGTATCAATGCTAACCTCAAAGCAGCCATTAGAAACTAATCTCTTGTTTGTTCTGATTGGATTGTTCTTAAACTTGGGTTTAGCTTCTTTGGAGTTATGTTTTCTCTAAAAAAAAAGGGCGTACCTTTGCGGGGTCTGGGGAAGGGTGTTAGTGGCAAGCCTTACCCTCGCCTGTGCAATGCGAGGAGACCGCGACTCGAACCCGAGACCTTCCGGTCACAGGCGGTAAGACTCTACCGCTTGCACCAGGCCCGCCCTTCAATGTTTTCTCTATATATGCTAAATTAAATTAGTGTGTTAGACTGTTTGCTGATGGTGAGTGTTTGTCCAATGCTGTAATGTCAACAGTAGCATATCAAAAAATATTTTAGCACAGATATGTTTAGTGCATCTTCATAATTGCTAGGTGATTGATCTTTTTTAGAAGAACTTGATTCGCGGTCATTGATATTGTTGGTCTTAGTTGCTATTAGGAATTTAGGACTGATTGCTCATCTTATTTTGTGTGTGTATATTTCTTCTTATTAGGAATCGGTCAAATCACGGCACCCACAGCTTCACTATGAATCAAAACTATACATGCTTTTGCAGGGTGGAAGTAAGTGCAACCAAAATAGAATTTGGTTAGCTCAATTACACTGGTATTTTACTGATCTGTTTCTGTTCTGCCCTGATTTGTAGCTGGGATTCCACATCTTAAGTGGTTCGGGGTGGAGGGGGAGTACAATGTCATGGTGATTGATCTGCTTGGTCCAAGTCTGGAGGACTTATTTAACTACTGCAGCAGAAAGTTCTCCCTTAAAACAGTACTAATGATTGCTGATCAGATGGTGAGTCTATCTTATGGTTCTACATTATTGTTGTATTTGTTTTGGACCTTTCGAAACCACATACTGATGTAGTGTCAAAACATTCTCCACTTTCCATTTCATTGGTCTTTGCAAACAAAAATAACATGCCTTCTTCATGTGGGATACAGATCAGTAGAGTAGAATATATGCACACGAAGGGGTTTCTACATCGTGATATCAAGCCTGATAATTTCCTCATGGGTTTAGGACGTAAAGCAAACCAGGTATGTGCTACTTCTGCTAAACCTCATTAAGAGTCAGTTTTCCTATTGGAAGCATTTTGTCTACCAAATTGAACAATGATGAATCAAAAGATTTTGAATATGAGACACTTTAAGAATCCTATTATCTGATGTCTAATGATAACAGTGAAGTTGAACGACGTTTCTTATTATGAGAAATGACTATTAGTTTGCTGGAAAAGTTACCATCTGAAAACAGTTGTGCACACTCCACAGGTATTTGTTATCGACTATGGCCTTGCGAAAAAGTATCGAGATCTCCAAACTCATAAGCACATACCATACAGGTAAAGGAGAATCTATGCCTATAAAATTATAAAGCTACTTCTAACTTAGCATCCTGAAAGTGGGAGATTGTTCAGGTGTACCATCCCAATTAGATCCTGTAGTTTCGTGTCTGTATTCCTGTTCACTCAATGTTTTTGATGCCATTGGCATTTTGACATAGTTCATGCATACCATAAACCTTTTTGTGGTGTACTATGCAACAGCTTATTACATGACTGAGTTCTTGGTTCTGAACCTACCTGAAAATTGAAATTTTGGATCAATTGTACCTTTTGTCTTGGGCTGAATTTGGTCATTCTTGAAAGGTTAACCTGGTACCTGGCATAATAGGAAGATGTTTTGCACTGGTTTTAACCATAGTGGTCAAGTTGGTTCATATAAGCAGGCCAGGGGCAGCCAACAATACTCAAACAATGTGTGTAGAAAATTAATAATAATAATAGGAAATATCAAAAGTTCAACATTGTAAAAACGCTGCTGTACTGATTAGTATTAACTTTTCATCTTTGACATGAAAAATTCCTGTTGCAATTTTTTTTCCTGGAGGTTCATTTTTTTGGTTCTAAGTTTCTAGCCAGGACTACTTTATGTGTGTTATCATTTAAAAAGCTAATACAATTTGTCAATTTCTTCGTCTTGCCACAGGGAAAACAAAAACCTCACAGGAACAGCACGATATGCCAGTGTAAATACCCATCTCGGAGTAGGTGAGTTTATGGCTTGTAAATACAGATATCTGTATCATCAGTATCTGAGCATTAAATGAGAGCAAAGGGAAACAGGGAAGGCAAATATTTTGAACAAATTAAAACTCTTCAAAACCTGTAAGCTGTAACACTAACAAATCTGAATGCCTTGATAGATGAATTTGGGTTAACCTTTCTTCATTTCCTTCTAGAGCAAAGCAGAAGAGATGATCTGGAATCTCTTGGTTATGTGCTGATGTATTTCTTAAGAGGAAGGTATGACATAATTTTTCTTCACTAGGATTTCCTATATTCTTGTGCACCATAACATTTTCTTGTCATCTTGGAATCCCCCAGTCTTCCTTGGCAAGGCCTGAAAGCTGGCACAAAGAAGCAAAAGTATGATAGAATCAGTGAAAAGAAAATGCTGACACCAGTTGAGGTATTTGATTTTTTAGATCAAGGGACAGTGCATTGTGAAGTCCCCATGATCCCATCACTTAATGTGCTGTTCAAACAACATGTTATGGTATTGATTTTCTGTGATAATAACATGCCAAATTCCTAAACAGGTCCTCTGTAAATCGTATCCATCAGAGTTTACTGCATACTTTCATTACTGTAGATCACTACGATTTGAAGATAAACCGGATTACTCCTATTTGAAGAGACTCTTCCGTGACTTATTTATCCGTGAGGGTATGGTTAAACATTATAAATGTATAATTTATGTTCCTTGCACCTCTATATTTTTTTTATGTGGCTTATGCTGGATACTTGCAGGGTACCAACTAGATTATGTATTTGACTGGACCATTATGAAGTATCCTCAGTTTAGAGATAAAAGCAAACTTCAGGTATGCACGCATGTTATTCATTTCCAGGTTCCAGCCCTTCATTAACCAATGTGATTTTCACTGGGCTGACATTTTGCATTTGTTCTTGGCAACTAGTCTAGTGGCAAGATTAGTGGGTTGGCAGGCCCTTCTGCAGAAAGGACTGATAGAACTGCAGGTCCGTAAATCTTTGAGCTAGGAAATAAATTGGTGAAATTTACCAAGTTTTTGTATCAACAAGGGGCACAACTACATCTCTGACAGATTATTTTCTGCAGCTGAAGCTTTGTTTAGAAGAACTGGATCTGGTTCTGGTCACAATCGAGAACACACCAAGCACAGAAGTCTTCTAGAGTCATTGATGCCATCCAAGGTGGTAAGATGTTTTGCTGTTCTGTACACCAGCAAATCGTTCTGCCGTGATTTCAGAAGATCTTACCACTACATACTGTTTTCTGTAGACTGTTGATTCGGATAAAACAAGGCCATCCTCATCATCGCGCAATGGAAGCACGTCAAGAAGAGCTGTCCTTTCATCAAGCAAACCAAGCTCTTCTGGAGATCCAAGTGACCCAAACCGCATGGGTCGCCTGGTCCCGAGTAGCAGCAGCCGCCCACCGACTGCCCAAAGGGCACATCCTTCAGGTGGAACTGAGATGAGATCATCGTCTTTGTCAAAAATCGGAAGGTCTTCACATGATGACGCTATCAGGAACTTCGAGCTCCTCTCACTTGGTGCTGACAGGAGAAAATAAGGAACTGACGAAATGGGCCATGGACTCTGGATGATGACGATGGAGTGCTGGGGGTATTATGAGCAGGCAGCTCCAGTATTTGTATGTTGAAAAATATTATTTTCAAAATAAAAGAGATGATTCAACTTATGAGATGTTTCCTTCTGTCTACTAATACTTCCTCTGTTTGGAAGGGAATACAATCTAGCATAGTATCAAGTAAAAAAAGGTATATGATTCTTCCTTCGTTTCAAGTTCAAGTCGCTTTGACTTTTTGGTACATCAATTTGTCATCAGATTCGTCATCAGATCCATCAGATTTTGCCAATAAGTGTCATCAGACCTGGTTAAACTTTAGATGGTCTGACTAAGGACAGAACTAGAATCGTATCCTTTTTCCTATATAGATAGGCGTAGTATAAGAGACTACAATACGTGGATCCGGCCGTACTAGAGAAGAGACGGTGAGACAACGAATAAAAGTTTGATGGTAGCTAAGTTTGTTGCCCTATCATTGCATCCATGTAGAAGAACAGAGAGGCAAACAGGGGTGATCATCGCCATGGCACGTAAGCTCGTCGCTCATCAGCAATTTCATGGCGGTCTGTCATCTCGGACGCCAGGGGGCCTCTGACGAACTGTGCTCACAAAGTGTGCAGAAGGCACAATTCCAGTTAGGCTCCCCGCTCGCTGAGCAAGTGATGCGGTGATGCCTCTTCCACTTGGACCAGAAACGCCTTGGGGCTCTCGAGGGACGGAGGCCGGAGGGCACCGGTCTCCCTGGTCTGTTTGGCGCTAGTGACCTAGTGTTCCTGATTCCTGAAGGTTCGAGGAGTAACTTCCACGAGCTTGGTCGCCGACTCGCCGTGCATTCATAAAACGGAACATGCTTGTTTCTTCCACTCGTGTACAATGTTTAGCAGGAGTCGCAGCAGCATGACAGCGCCACTGCCCACTAGCTTCAAAGTCAATACATCAAATTTTGCAATGGGGATTGAAAAACAAAAACTGTCACAAGCAACCCCATTCAATTCTGAGTAAAGATGCGGGAGTACCCAGTGCAGACGGCTGTGAGAACTTGAGATGGCATGTATCTGAGTCAAGCAGTACAGTGGTGATGGTACATGACTGGATAGACGCTATGATGTGTACCTGAATCAGAACTGACTAGGTTAGCCTATGCTTGCCGGTAGCTTCTGAGCTACAAATACCGTGCATTGCTGCAAGAAGAAACGCGTCCTAGAATCCCAGGCTTGCTTACAAAGTAAAGCGAAATAATCAGCAAGATAGTATGAGACCATCAAATAGGAAATTAACTTATTTAAGATGGAGATTTTTTTTTCTGGTAACACTTGTTGTCTTACAAGTATGTTAATATATAATCGAACTCTTCGCCGCAATGTCGTAATCCCAAAGTATCTGACTAGATCCACAAGACTAAACCTCCTGTAGAGGAAATGACGTTCAACGTGAAGTATTAGAAAATCCAATGCTCTGTCTATTTTGATCCCAACCGCCAAATTTTTAATTGAGTGCCATGTATGATGCGTGTACACCAGTTGTACCTGATGGGAAGAGCATATTTCTGTGAGTCAGACAGTACCCTTAAGATCACGAACAATGTGATGGTACATGAATGGATATAGATGCTCTGATGTGTATCTGCATCAGAAATTCAGAACTGACTACGTCAGCCTATGTTGCAGGCAGATTTTGCAACTGCAAATGCTGTGCCTTGCTCCAACAAGGAACGCGTACTGCGATCCTGGTTCCTGGACATGGTTTCTGGTATATGATAAGAGGGGTATGAATTTATGAAAACAAAACAACAATATGTGTTAACTGTTAAGCAAATTAAATGGGAGTATGGTCGAATTTCCAACTGTGAAGCAAAGAGAACAAGAGTTTTCGCTGAAAACTGTTGCCACGATGTAGCCATGTGGTCCACAAACTGTTGCCACGATTCTTTGAACCTATACCGGAGGAAATTGATGCTCAAAGTGAGGCATTAGAAAAGATAAACATATATTTTTTTTCGAAAGATCCGTTACCGGCTTTCATTGATAAGGGAAGAGCATATTATTTACAAAGGTTTGGCACAAGGATCGCCAAATTGCATGGCTTTCACATCCCAGTGAGAGTCATGCCACCCCTACATTTTATAGTTGCATCTTACATAGGATTTATAGCATCTACAGGAGGCTGCTCCAGTGGAGGCAGCTGTTTTTCTAGTCCTCTATTTCCGGCCCATACTCACGTCCTTGCTTCGTCTTGTATGGCTCTGAAGATTTGCTCCAGCGTTCTGGAGGATCTTTGAAACACCCGATTGTTCCTTTCCTTCCATATTTCCCAGGCTGTCAGCATGATCATCGAGCGTACCCCTTCTCTTGCATCTCTTGTTCCACTGTTGGCCATGTCAGCATACCATTGTCCCAGATCTTCCGTCTGTGTCCAGTGTGTCGGCCTTAGTGCAGCCGCCGAGATCCAGGAGCCCACCTTGTCCCAACACTCCTCGAGTAGCCGCATTCTTGAAAGAGGTATGAGACCGTCTCCAGGTTCCTCACACAGAGTTGGCAGAAATAGTCATTTGGCCATTGCCTAAGCATTAGCCTTGCAGCTGTCCAAACGCGGTTCTGTAGCATAAGCCAAGTGAAGAATCGGCATTTTGGCGGCGCCTTTGTTTTCCATGTGATTTTAGCTGTCATGGATGAGGCCATTCCAAGGAATTGCATTCTATATGCCGATCTTGCTGTGTACTGGCCATCCGCTGTGTGGAGCCAGCTGATCCTATCCTCATTTGCCGACTGGACAGAGATTTCTTGTAAGCAAGTCCATAGTGATATAAATTCCTCGACCGCTCGCTCTCCGTCATGCTGTAGTCGACATCTCTGATCCAATTTTCATCGTCCAGGGCATCACAAACTGTTATGCTCTTCCTCTTGCTATGTCTGAACAAGGCCGGGTATAATGTTGCAAGTGCTTGACCATATAGCCAGCGAGATGACCAGAACTTAGCCTTTTTTCATTTCCTAAGACCACACTTGTAGAAGCATTGAAGAGTGCGATGTCACTATTGTCAACCGGCAACTCCATTCCTTTCCAGGGTCTGTCAGTGTCGTCCCACGAGAACCAGAGCCACCGAAGCCGCAGGGCACGACTGAACCTCTCCAGTTCGATGATGCCTAGACCACCGTTGTCTGTTGGCGTACATACTTTGTTCCATGCAACCTTGCATTTCCCTCCAGTTAGCTCCTTGTCGCCAGCCCACAAGAATCTTCTACGAAGTTTGTCTAGTTCTTTCAAGAAATTTTTGGGTACCTTCACAGCCGTCAGCAGGTAAACTGGCAGGGAGCTAAGCACAGAGCGCACCAACTCCCTGCGGCCAGCAACATTCAGCAGTCGCCCTTGCCAGCCAGCCACCCTATCTTTAGCTCTATCTTGGATGTATTATAGGTGCACCATTCTTAACCTTCCAAGTGTGAGAGGCAGTCCTAAGTATTGCATTGGAAAAGCCACTCTTGGTCCAGGGAAGTCTTGTAGTATCTGTTCCATATCTAGGTCCACACATCTAATCGGTGCCACAGTGCTCTTTTGCATGTTTATCTGTAATCCAGTGGCTGCACCAAAAGCATTCAGGATCTCCATGATGCAGGTAATGTCCTGTCTTCTTGGGTTACTGAAGATTACCGCATCATCAGCATACATCGATATTCAGAGGCTTGCATGTCTACCTTTTAGTTTTGATAGGAAGCCTTGCTGCGTTGCAATGTCGAAGATGTTATTAAGTACATCGATTGCCAATATGAACAGGTAGGGTGACAGTGGATCACCCTGCCTAAGACCTCTCCGGTGCATGATGTTGTCACCTGGGCAACCATTGAGTAGTATTGCCGAGGACGATGTACTGAGGATCGCTGCCAGCCAGTCCAGCCATCTTGTCGGAAATCCCCTTTTGGCAAGCAGCTCAATCAGTTACTCCCATGATACCGAGTCAAATGCTTTGGTTATGTCGAGTTTGATGAGGCAAGCAGGTGTTCTTATGCGGTGGTAGTGCCGCGCGAGCCCCCTGACATACAAGAAGTTTTCCTGTATGCATCTCCTTTTAATGAAAGCACTTTGAGAGGCAGAGGTTAGCTTATCTATATACATCGCCAATCTATTCGCCATCACCTTTGTCAGTAACTTTGCAAAGGAGTGGATGAGACTTATCGGTCTGAAATCCTTTGGCTCCGTCGCAATTTCCTTCTTGGGGATCAGCACCACCTGTGCTCGGTTAAGGTGTTCCAGAGCCCCATTGTGGTGTATGTAGAAAGCATGAAAAGCAGCGAGAACATCCGGCTTGATGATTTCCCAGCAATGCTTGTAAAAATCACTGGTAAAACCATCCGAGCTAGGCGCCTTCTCACTGGGAAGATCTCTTATTGCCTGCTGAATCTCATTTTCTGTGAAGGGCCTGTCAAGTTCGAGGCCAGGTAGCTGGACCAGTGCGTTTAGCTACAGCTGTGGCCATTGGAAGGTCTGTGTCCTGTGTATCTTCTTTCCAATTAGGTCTTGGAAAAAGTCTTGGAGGCCCGTTGTTTTTCATCATGAGCCCACACCAAGGTGCCATCCTATTTTTTGAGTGAAGGTATGTACTGTCTTCTCTTCCTGGCTGCCATCTTCAGGTGGAAGAATCTTGTACATGCGTCTCCTGCCTTGATAAAGTTCAGTCTAGACACCTGTCTTCTCCTACTCCTCTCAATCGCCGCTAAGCCCAATATCCTGATTTTGAGGTCTTGCTGTAGAATATTCTCTTCTTCTGATAGCCGTCTGCTTTCTTGGGCAACATCCAACCTGAAAATGACCTCATTTGCAATGTATAGCTGCAGGCGTGCATTGCTGAAAAGCAGTTTGCTCCAAGTTCTTAGCGCCCACGCCGTCTCTGCTAGCCGTCTGTTCAGAAAGTGTGCGCTAAGCCCGCTTGTGGTTTGCTCCAGGCATTCATGACCACGTCCCAGAAGCCATCCACCTTGAGCCAATGG